TCTCACGTTATTCCTGATTAAAGATTTAATGCGCGGTAAGTGTGCAGTAGAAGGTACATTAACGCCGCTTGTAACCGTTTAACTTAAATAAAATCGTAGGCGAAAAGGAAGCCGGCCGACCAAAAAAAATAATCGAACAACTCTACTGGCTAAAAAACCTCTAGACTAAGAGAACTATTAGAACAACTCCTTTGACCCTTAGGCCGCCTCACAAGAATACCCTCCCAAAACAGAGGTGATAATGGGCAGCTATTCATTTCTGTAAGATCATTTTTACAGCATAAATGTCCCTGATAATTTATCAAAAGCCTTGTAGTGGCTTGATTGTTTGCATAACTCGATTATTACGCCTCTAAACCCCGTGATCGGTTGTGTTTCTTTTGCTGTGCAGTCACGTGAAAAAGTAGATTTTAATCAAAAAAGCATAGGCAGCGGATTTTCCACCACTGGAAAAAACAAAGACCAAAATAGCTTCTTGTTAGGAAATACGATGTCTCCAATGCTAGAATTTTAACATGAGAGTTGGAAAAGGAAAAAAAACATGCTGCTTAGATGCGTTTGGGAAAATACCATGTGCTTTATCCGCACGCTGAATTTTCAGGTAGTTGTATATGCTCTCAAGGCAAAGATTGCAGCGCACGCACATTTTGCAGGCCACAAGGTAGCGTAAGGAATCCCCCAAAACGCACACATGCATTCGAAACAGACTCAAAAAAACATGTTTTTTTTAAAATGTAGGTTCGTGGGGCGTTTCGACGAAGAGTTTTTAAAAATCAGAAAATGCAGAACTCTAAATTTTCATTTGTAGGAAATGGCCCTATAACACTAAGCTGCCGTTTTATGAAAATTAATAGACTCAAGTGCCATAAATGTTGTGTGAATGGGCCGTAAGGAGTCAGGGATAAATTTTAATAGAAGGCCGTTATTCGATAATGTGACGGACGCGCGGTTCTCATACATTCGTAAAACGTTTTGTTGGAATTCAATACGAAAAAAATTAGTAATACTTGTAGGGATTCTACTGGATAAACTTCCAGAACTATGAGCGCCGCTGATAGGTTGGTTTAATTTTAACTCGCAAAGCGCAAAATTAATCTATAAACCTTAACTGATTTGAAAACATATTTGGTAACACAGGTCCGGACAGTTTTGCTTTCTTCAGTCCGATGGAAAAACCGTATAAATTTTGCCCCAATAAGGCCTTTGGCAACTTAATAAAACATTTGGCAAATGGAGACGAAACCTTAGGATGGCTGAAACATTGCAGAGAACATCTGTCCACATATTAAACGGCCAAAGAATGAATTAAAGTTTCATAAAACGATCGCTCACTTTTTCAAGACTCAGTGGAGAGACAGCCGGGCCGAACTTGACAAGGAAAACGCTAATCAGGTAACCTCATTGTAGGATGTGACGACTATAGTTCGCCCGTCAAAATCAACAGGGAGTATCGCCGCTACGATTCAGCCATGGCGATCTGTGCGTAAATTTAACTACGACAGCGGACACTTGTGCAACATCGGTTTCGCCTGCTCCTCATAAAACCAGCGTGTTTCCAGCGT